TGCATCATAGACAAGTTTAAATTTATTTTCATCTTCAAAGTTAGATCGTAATAAAAGCGTGTTTAAATCAATTTTAACATCTTCTTTCTCCAATGTAGTAACAAGGGTCAGTCTAGCCTAATAATAAGCCGTACACTCAAAAAAATAGTGTTTTGGGTTTTTCGACTCTCGTGTAAATGATGTAGTTGTTTGTAATACTTTCCATTCTTGCTTCGACATTTTTTTAATGGTATCATCTGTCGTAAAGGGCAGGTATTTATAGCTCTTGTGAGTTGACAAAACTGATGAAATTTTAAAAGACTGAACCGTTGACAATACAATTTCGAAACCGTCAACTATTGACATATTTTATATATCTTTCATATTTCTGTTTATACTTCTTGTATATATTCTTTTTCTTGTCTATCAACTGATTAATTTTGAATTAATTTGCTATTAAATTGCTATATATTCATTAAAACATATTTATTGCCCTAGAAAAGGCTAAGATGAATGATCATTGACGATGTTGCTGAGATGCCACAATAGTTATTGAATAATACATTCGAACATGGAATTATCTGTAGAAGTCACAGAAACAGTTTTTTGCTGGTGCCACGTGCATATCATGCAAATTAAATTCCGCGTAACACATGTGTATCATGCGCCTTCGACATTCACCTTTTTCTTTCTATTCTGTTAACCCGGCAACGATCTGTCTTCTCGAGTATATAAACATGATGACTCATTACTCACAACTGCACGTAAGTTGGGAAGGAAAGAAATTACCAAGCAACTAAAGACACATACGTCAATAAAAAACGGTGTCAGAAACACCTCATATCTTCATTCGTCCACCAATACGATGGAACTCAGCAACGATCATACAGATGATTTCGAAGATCTACTTTTGTCGACTACTCACCAAGGAGACGCACAGGCACTCGAAACACTTTTATCGTCTGTGATCAACCCTGATATATACGTGAATCGTGTGTACGATGAAGCGAACGAACAGAAATGTACTCTACTGATGATTGCTTGTGTGAATCGACACAAAGACATAGTGTGCATGCTGCTCCGTTGCTTCAAGCCTGACCTTGAGGTATTAAACATTATTTTGCTTGAAAAGTCGGAGAGGTATCAAAATGTAACGGTTCTGTGGACTGCAGCAGCTATTGATAATTTCGAGATCGTGAAACTGCTTGTCGAGCATGGTGGTTGTGTGAATCACACAACCATCACCAACTCAACTCCGGTACGTTGCGCCTGCTACAACGGAAACATGAACATGGTGCGGTATCTAGTCGAGCACGGTGCCGATGTACGTATTGCGAAGGAGCATAATGTCACAAATGTAATGGTAAGTGCTCGCTATGCGCATCAAGAGATGATTGCTTATCTCGTAGATGAGCTAGGCTGTGATGTCAATGAATGCGATGATGATGGTCGATCGGCGCTCTTTGATGCTGTGAACTCTGGATCACTTGAGACAGTGCAGTTTTTGCTCGAGCGCGGGGCTCGCAACTTTCGAGCCACTTTTGATCATATGAGTCCGTTGATGTGGGCGGCTGAAAAAAGACGTGCGGATCTTGTAGATGTTCTGTCTCATCACTGCTCGTTGCTCGAACTGATTGAAGCGAAAGAACTGCTTGCCAGTGCTTTTGTGTGGCGTGAACACGGTACGTGCGATCTCGAACGATCATTTGAGCAAATTTCTCGAGCGATCGAACTCAGATCAATTCATAGTTTCCCGAAAGTTGTCCTGTCAGCAACTGCTGAAGTATTCGAAAATCGTCAAGAATGTCAGACGATTGATCAGCTAGAAGATCTCCGATCGAACCCCATCGGTATACACGTTGAGGCACTACTTGTGCGTGAACGGCTTCTTGGTCCGGCGAACAGTGAATATCTCCATTCACTTCGTTACCACGGGGCTTGGTTGGCTGATAATGGGCAGCACAATCGAGCAGTTGCTTTCTGGATGTACGAGCTCGCGTTGCGGCGGCAATATTCAATCCCCATCGACACGGAGTACTTGCGCATATTCGCGTCACTCTTCGCGGAAATAGTGTTTCAATCATTACCCATTCCGACACATGCTTTGTTGCAAGTGATGACGGCGACAAGTGATGAGCTGGCATGTCATACGACAGAAAATGATTACAACATGCATACATTACTCTTTCTGGTAACAGTTGCCAGTCAGGTACTGTATTATTGAAATAAGTCCATTTTTCACCGTCGACGTTCGTCTGTTTAGATACCCATCGAAGAATTCTATGTTAGTGCGCGTCGAGAGTTCTTTCTTCGATTTCTACGAACCATCAATCAACGCCAATGTGTTACCAACTATCTATTCCATAATTCGTGATATGAATAAAACACTGAAAGAAGAAAAACATTTCGATGAAGACATCGTTCACGTCTACCGTGCTCTCTAAAAAAAATAGGCATTTTAAAAAACCTAAAAAGGGTTCGGGAAACTGCAAATATACGGAACCCTTTAAAAGGTTTAGTAAGGGGTTTTTGACGT